TCGCATTTCGATTTTTTGGGATTGAAAAATCAAATTTGTTGAAAATTCCTAGTTATTTTAAAATTTTGAAAAATTTTTCAATAGTTCGGAATTACCGAATTTTCGAATTTCAAAAATTGGAAATTTGGGAAATTCTGAAGTTCCCGAAAATGTGTTTTTTTTCATTATTTTTCAATTTTTGCTCTCTTTTGAACCTTTTTTTTCAGAAACAATTTTCCAAGAAACACGAGAATGTTTCTCTTTTCAAAGTAAAAAAAAAAGTGGTTGCTCGTGCTCTTTAGAATTTTAAATAGCTCTTTTTTCTCTCTTTTTTTTTGAAAAATGTTACGTTTCAGAGGATCCTAGAACTTTGTTCTTTTGGTTTTTGCAGGGTAAATTGCTTTTTGAATACATTAGTTTTTGGTTCTCAAATTCAGAAAATTTTCAAAATTCAAATATTCCTCATTTCAGATTTTTCATATTTTGGGCATTTTCGTGGTTCCAAAATGTTGAAAAAAAGCTTTTAAAGGTGGGGGGTCATGAAAAAATAATGTTCTCGAAATTCTGTTTAAATATGCCCCTCGAGGAGTTGAACTTGTCGAGGCGAGTATTGACGGTGCGGCGCCGCTACCGACTGAGCCACGCGGGCGAAACTGGAGCGGGCTCCTGATTGCATACATAAAGGCGAGGACGACAGCTGTACGCAGAGTGACATTAATCGTTGTACACCGTCACGGTAGAATGCATACTCTAGCTACAAAAAAACTACGAAAAATCTCCTGTCCCCCCACCTTTAAAAAACTGTCAAAAAATTGTAGAACAAAAAAAATTATGTCTATTCACACAGAAATGTATAATATTCAATTCAGGTACCACATGCTGGAAAATCACCCAAATTCAATTATAAAAGTTGATTTCCTAGAAAAAAACGGAATTTTTGGCAAAACATTTTCCGCCAAAAAACTGGAAATTTTGAAGAAAAAAGTGGAAATCTTTTTTTGCAAAAAATGACCGATTTTTGACTCGCCAAACTCTGTTTTTTTGCACTAAAAACAAGAAAAAAAAGGAAGTTTGAAGAGAAAAATAAAGCAAATAAAAAGAAGAAATAGTACAGAAAAATGAGAGGGTCCAGAGAAAAAGAGAGTGCAGAACTTATTTTTCGGAAGAGTACAAAAAAACAAAAGTCAAAAAACTTGTAGAGCTTTGTTAAACAAAAAAAGCACAATGTTCAAAAATCGGCCAAAAAAGAAAATTGAAATTTTTTTTGGAATTTTCATATCTCGCTAGAGCGCGTTTGTATCAAAAAGTTGTCAACTACAAAATTAAAGCTCTTGTGTTGTTTAGTATACTCTGAAATTTTCAGACAAATTGACAAAGTTTACAGTACTCTTGTAGGACGTTGAAAATTGTATAACGTCATTTTTCACATTATCTCACTTCTTTTTTCTAGTTTTTGGAAACTATAAAAATTTCTCTCGATTCAAAATTTTCACAAAAAAATTTCCAGGAAAAATTTCACAATGTTTCTTATCACCTTATCACCTCCAGAAAAGTGTTTTTACCGGTGAAAATTTTCCTGGCATTGAAAAAAAAAGAAACTTTTGGTCGATACATTTTTAGGCTACAACATTGTGGGGGTAAATATAAGTCTAGCCACAAAAAAAGTCGACGTTTCTTATCTCCGTTTTTTTCCAATCGATTTGGCAAGAAAATTAGAGAAAAAGAGGAAAAATTAAAGGGGTGAGATGATGTGATGTTGAAAATGACGTAATACAATTTTCAAGACCTTACAAAAAGGCTTTAAACTTCGTCAATTTGTCTGAAATTTTCAGAACATACTAATCAAAGCTAGGGCTCTAATTTTGTAATTGACAACTTTTTGCTACAAATGCGCTCTGGCGAGATATGCCACGTGTCGCCCACCGGAGGGCGCCTGCGCGCCTTCTTTGGTGGCAGCCAGCAGCAGGTGCCCTTCCACGTGGCATATCTCGCTAGAGCGCGTTTGTATCAAAAAGTTGTCAACTGCAAAATTAAAGCTCTATTTTCGTTTAGTATACTCTGAAAGTTTCAGACAATTCCAAAAAGTTCGAAGGTGTCGAAACCTTTTCCTTTTTGGAGGAATTTTTTGCCCTTTTTGGAGAAAAAGTGAATGTGTTCTATAAATATTTAATCGCTTTCTTTTCGAAGCATTTAGCACTAGAAATTGAACACAAAAAGGCACAAAAAAAGAAGTACTTGAAAAATGAGGGGAAAGTGTGTGATTTGTGAGTGCATATGTTCAAAAAAAAAATGTCCACTAACTTTAAAGGCGCATATTTCCAAAACCAAGAATCGTACTGAAAAGTTGTAAACTACAAAAATGTGTAAAATTTTTAGAACTACATTTTTTGTAATTAACAACTTTTTGAAAACGTTCTCAGTTTTTGAGATATGCGCCTTT